GTTTCTACAAAATTAAACAACTGGATGAACATCCACGTAGCAATGGTAACACTGAAATAACACATATTAATAACACACCCTAAATAAATGCAACGTTTGGGTTGGAAAAGAGATTGAATCTAAAAAATAATTATTAATATTTGTGAAGATTTTGCCATGCTTTTTTAAACATACTACAGTTTATTTGTTATTTTAGGTTTAATTATGTGGATGGATCATTTCCAAAGCTAATCTAGTTGCAAACTAACAGAATAAGTTTATTCACTTTAAAATATACTCTGAGAGTTTCTCACAAGTATCTAGAAGTATCTACTTAACTATTTATTTTGTTCATTTCATGATATTTTTGTCTGGTTTATTCTTGCTTTGTATTTTTTTTTTACCATATTAATTTCTTTCATGCTTTTTATTTCTGCCTGTCGTATTTACATTTCTTTATGTATTTTTGCCTAATTATGCAAATGAGGAGGGGCTGAAACAATTAATTGGAATAAATGGATTAATTGTGATTAATCGATTATTGAAATAACCGTCATCTCTCTCTCCCTCTCTCTCTCCCTCCCTACTTCTCCCTCTCGCTCTGCTTCCCTGCCTCTCCCTCCCTCCCTCTCTCCCTCTCATCCATTTATCATGCATCAATCAGGGGGAGAGAAGGAGGGAGAGGGAAGGAGAGGGAGAAAGAAAGAAAGAAATGCCTGCACGAGGGCGAGGAAAGACAAGTACAAGGACAAGGGAGAGGAGTGGGGCAAGGTAGAGGGGGAAGAATAGAATGTGTGGTGGCGCTCAAAGAAGGACCAGAGCTAAGGTAACTGATCAGCAAGAGCCACTATCATTGACCATGTCATAAACCACGGGTTATCATACAGAGAGGCTGGTGAACGAGTACAGCCAAATATCAGCCTGGACACATTGGCATCTATTGTCCGTATTTTCAGAGAAACCAACAGGTAGGATATTGCTTCTCCTACACCAAAGTGTAAATAAACTTTATGCCTCCAGTGTCTGATATGGAACTGCATTTTGTCTCTCTAAGGATTCAACGTCTACCTCCCTCAGGGGAAAGGTCCTGAATGAAGAACAAGAACTTGCTAATGTCAACATGGTGACTGCTGACAATGAAATCAAACTGAAAGACATTTAGTCCAGAGTTGTAGAGGACAACCTTGTCTTTGGGAACATTGCAGCAATCAGCATAACATCAATCTCTCGGACTCTAGCTAAACACAGATTCCGAATGAAACAACTATACAAAGTTCCTTTCGAAAGGAACAGTGAACGCATCAAAGAATTCCGACACCAATACGTCCAGGTAAGTTTATGCAATACAGTCATCACTATACACAGTTTGTTTCGCAGTAAACTATTCTATAAACTTAGAATACATTAGGACAAACAGTAGATTTTCAGTACAGCACAGCAGCAACATACACTGTGTCTAATTACTTTCAGAGAGTCATGGAGTTGGAGGCCAGTCAATTCCCCCATGAATTTATCTATGTTGACGAGGCTGGCTTCAATCTGACAAAAAGGCGTCGCCGTCGGAGAAACATAATTGGCAAAAGGGCCACGGTTGCTGTGCTGGGCCAGAGAGGAGCCAAAATCACCATGTGTGCTGCAATCTCCAACAATGGTGTACTCCTGCATAAATGTGAGATTGGCCTCTACAACACCGAACGCCTTCTTATTTTTTTTAGAAGACCTGCATGAAAGACTGGTGCCAGTGGTAGAAAGGGGCAGTTGGGAGACCATTTGCAATGTGGCATTTCAACCATTCCCGTACAATTACAGCCTGGTTTGATGCCCATCCAAGGATGATATCCCATTTCCTTGCTCCTTACTCTCCTTTTCTCAACCCCATTGAGGAGTTTTTCTCAGCCTGGAGATGGAAGGTATTTGACCATCGTTCACATGACCAAATGTCTCTCCTAGATGCAATGGATGCTGCATGCCAGGACATCACAGCTGAACACTGCCAGGGATGGATAAGGCATGCAAAAAGATTCTCCTTACGATGCCTTTGCA